CAAACGTGGGAGTGCAAAATGTTGGCCAACAACTTATTTGTCCTGCAAAGACAGTGGTGTGGGTGGGAGAGGTGTTCTTCAACGGGAGGTTTTACATGGAACTGCACTTTGGGTCTGCTCTCCCCAGCAGCAGCTTTCGCGAACGGTGCTGTGCCAGTCCTCCCGCGTGACTCCAGCGACGTGCTACAGGAGAAACGGGATCCTTTGGGATGTGAACCCCAGCATGGCACCACCGTCCCCGTCATTGCAGGCAATAAGCAAGAGAACAAAGCTTGGCCGGGCGCTGCTGAAGCAGTGGGCAAATGTGAAGCTGTGATGTTTGAGGTCTGGGTGATGCTGCTCCTGAACCTGCTCGAGCTCAGGCCCCGCCGCAGCCTTGGTGCTCGCAGCTTTGCCTCTGTGCTCTCCCTCTCTCCCTGGCTCTCCCAGAGCAGAGCTGTTTGGGTTTTGCATCTTTTCGGTCCCTCGTCTGCCCGGTTTCCCCACGTGGGGGCTGCAGACGCGGTCACTCCGTGTCTCACCCCGCCGGGCACCACAGAACAGCCGGGAAGAGCAGGAAGTCAGTGGCACTGCGGAAAGCACAGCTCTTGGCAGCTGATGGCAGCCCAGGGTGTGTGCCCATCTGTTTCTCCGCGTGACGACGGGCATCGCTCCCGACCACCGCCGGCTCCGGATGCGGTGACCCCACTTCTCCCGTTCTAACCGTATTTTTGGGCTGTCCAGAAACCCACCACTCGACTGTCTTACCTGTGAAATGCCACTGGGTTTCTGGAGAGGGGCTTTGCCTTTCCGGGCTAAAGCCCCCGGTTCCTCCGCCCCGGGGCACTCGCTCCCTCCACGCCAGGGAAAACCAGGGCAGGAACCTGCTCATCCGCGGGGCTCCGCGTGCGGCCGGGCTCCCATCCCTCGGAAACCATCCCCGGCTCTGCTGCTGTTGCTCAGAACACGTTTGGGATCAGGCATCCCTCCGGAGAGCTCAGGACCAGCACTTTAACCCCCCGTTCCCCGGTCCGAGCTCCGCTCGGAGCAATCCCTGCCGCTGCCAGCGCCTGCCAGGCGGTACGGGCAGCGTTGGCCCGCCGGCTACTCATGAATCATCTCAGTTCAGCTGGAGGACCCCAAGCAAAGGGGGGTGGGATAATTCCAGACCTATTTTTTGGTTATGCTCAGAAGCCTCAGTGTCTGCTCTGCTGCCAACCTGGAGCCCCATCCCAGCGATTCGTGCTCAGCCTTTGGGAAAAGAGTGAGACCGCTCTGAGGGAAATGATTTAAAATGCCTTCAGGTGCCTTTTCACTTCTTTTTATTTAATTCCATAAATATTTTCATAAGGCTCAGTGTCTTTACAACACTTTTTAAACACTTTTTTTTGTTTTATACACACAACTTTGACACTTGTTTGACAGGGTCAAACAGTCCAATATAAACAAAATAATAAAACTGGCAAGTGCGGATCAGCTGGGTTACCAAAATCCTTTTTTTTTTTTTTTTCTTTTTTTTTTTTCTCTTACTGTTAAAACCCCAAAAGCCCTAAAATATCAGTATTTGGCTTCAAACTAGAATTTTAAAAACCTTTTTTTTTTTTTTTTTTTTTAAATTCTCTGCTACAAGTCCCTGTCATCATAGTGCCTTTAAACTCCTACAGACTCTTCTTTTCTTCTTAAGGAAAAATAAGCTTGGTGATGCCATGCAGAACTTACAATAGCTACTAAATATACATGTTCCCTGAAATGTAGCTGCAATGAAAAGATGACAGAGCATAAAGAGAACAAAACCAGAAACCCAAAGCACCACAGTGTACTATCAATAACATTGCGATGGATGGCCGGTGACCATCCAGAAACTGAAACAAATTTCAAATATATTTCTCTATGTATTATTTTCTATTTACAACTGTTAGATGCACCTAGGTTGGTTCTTGTTTGATTTTTTTTTTTTTTTTTTGGAGAGGGTGGGGAGGCGAAAGTCTTGAATTTAGATCCTCTGTTCTAGTGTCTAGGCAAGGGGTAATGCATGTCATTTACCTAGGGAGGAGGGTATTTTTATGGTTTTTTATATATATATAGATTCCGCCAGACAAATACCGTGTAGGTTTGTTACAACTCTCTTGTTTCTGCGTATGGAATGGTAAGTGGGTTCCTCCTGTCTGGCACTGAAATGAAAGTCTGTATCAGATGCTCAGTCAAAATCGCCCCGATCTGATCGCATCTGCGCTGCTGCCAGCGCTCCCAGCCACACGAGGCAGCCCAGCCCTGCTCCCTACTGGGAAAGCCATGGTAGGCAGGAAAAGTGGGAACCCGGTGCTGGTTCTTCTTTGCGATAACGCTCCATCTCTTGCAGCACCTTGGCAATTTATGGAGGGGAAGAGCTTTCTTGAAGGCCATGCCTGAGAGCCAAGCTGCTCTTCCCTCTGGAACGAACGCCTGCCCCTGCCGTGCCCGCCGCCCGGCTTCGGCAAGCGCCGGCAGGGCTACTGTGTTTTGGCTTTCCGTTTAAGAAAGAAGCTGCGAGTCCAACAAGTGGCCTTGTCAGATCAAGCGAGTCTTGATTTATGATGCAAATAATGGTGTGGCGGTGGTGTTGCTTTTTTCCTAGTGCTGAATATTTAGGAAGCATCTTCTCATAAAAATTATGGATGTCTCATTCTCACTCTCTGAGGCACAAAACAGTAAATGAACAGGCTTAACTAACGTGCTCGTTACTTTTTTTCCCCTAAGCAATTAAAAAGGCAAAGGAATAAGTGAAATTTTCATCATGTCGCCCAACAGTTGGTAATATCTCTCTCTCTTTCTCTCTCTCTCTCTCTGCGTCTCTCCAACCATTCAGAAACAGTAAAACATTTCAGTTAACTTCTGAGAACCCACCTCATTCACTTCTTTAAATACCCATTCTGTTAAAGAAACAAAATAATATCTCCTACGTAGTCGATATTAAAATCTGGCCATAAAAATGCAAAGATACAAAAGAGCATAAAAATAAGTTCCGGTATAAAATTGGGTCGCCTCCTATTTGGGATTCCCGGTGGTTCCGCTGCTGCCTGTCACAGAGGGGCCACTCCTCCTCTCCAAAACATTCGTCTGGCTTTGCTGGTTATTGATTGTTTCTGGATTACTAAAAAGTGCTGAGATTATTTTTGTACTTCAGTGAAAAAACACAGCCACTGCCTTGTAATGTGCCCTAAAATAAAACAGGCTCCATGGAAATACTGAAATCACACTCTCTGCTCCTCCCATTCTCCTGTATTTCTTAGGGGAGGGAAAAAAACACCCTGTGTCTCCACGCTAGTTGGCCTGGGGTGCTTATGGGGTGTATCAGATTCAAAAAAAAGTGATAAATACCGTGATCAATCCCTTCATCCCACATTTTCAAAGGAGCTTGCAGAATAGCTCTGCAAAGTTTTTAAGTTTGTCTTCTGAATGTGGTTAAACAGTCTCATTTGCCCTAGGAACAAAAAAAATCATCCTAGTGCACAGCGATTTGTTTTACGAGCTGAAACATAAGCTTCTGCGCTTGCAAACGAACGGACTTAAGGCTGAAATTGTAGGGAGTGTCTTTGAAAACAGAGCTACGAATCTCCAGAGGGAGAAAAAGAGAGAGAAAGAGACCTGGAGAGTTCAGCTAATCACTCCA